TTGGGATCATCAGGGAAGAGATGGATGAGGTTGGGATCATCAGGGAAGAGATTCCCATTGGGATGAGCTTGGGAATCTTCAGGGAAGAGATTCCCGTTCCCACTGGAGGGGGGTTGAAAAGGAGGGATTTGGGCTGGAAAAGTTGGAATTTGAGCCCTGAAAACGGGGGATTCGGCCCCAAAAATGCAACTTTTGACCCTTAAAAATTGGGAAAACCCCCTTTGGATCCCGACTCTTTCCCTCTTCCCTGCCCAGCGAGCGGATCCGACGCGCCGGAATCCTCCCGGAACGTTCTGGAAGCGCCGCCTTTCCCGGATACCCGGAGGCCGGAATGGGATCCGGGCCCTTCCCCGGCGCCCGTGGAGCCGCTTTACACCCCGGGCCCGGATGGGGCCGTGCCAGGTACCACCCACCGGGAGCGACCACTCCGGGCGGGAATTCTCCCTCCGGAGGCCGCCGCCGTCTCCACGGATTCCACCTCTGTGGTAGTTTGGTCTGGGCCTTCCTTGGTGACCAGTTTGTAAGGCCTGGTGAGGCCTAGTGAGGAATAGTGAGGCCCAGTGAGGCCTAGTAAGGCCTGGTGAGGCCTAGTGAGGCTTGGTGAGGCCTAGTGAGGGCTGGTAAGGCCTAGTAAGGCCTAGTAAGTCCTGGTGACGCCTAGTAAGGCCTGGTGAGCACTAGTGAGGCCTAGTGAGGCGTAGTAAGGCCTAGTAAGGCCTGGTGAGGCCTAGTAAGGCCTGGTGAGGCCTGGTGAAGCCTAGTGAGACCTAGTTAGGCCTAGTAAGTCCTGGTGAGGCCTAGTGAGGCCTAGTAAGGCTTGGTGAGGCCTAGTGAGACCTGGTGACACCTAGTGAGGCCTAGTAAGGCCTAGTGAGGTCAGATGTGGCCAAGTAAGGCCTAGTGAGGCCTGGTGAGGCCTGGTAAGACCTGGTGAGGCCTGGTAAGACCTGGTGAGGCCTAGTAATGCCTAGTAAGACCTGGTGAGGCCTAGTGAGGCCTGGTGACGCCTAGTGAGGCCTAGTGAGGCCTGGTGAGGCCTAGTGAGGCTTGGTGAGGCCTAGTGAGGGCTGGTAACGCCTAGTGAGGCCTAGTAACGCCTAGTGAGGCCTGGTGAGGCCTAGTGAGGCCTGGTGACACCTAGTGAGGCCTGGTGAGGCCTAGTAAGGCCTGGTGAGGCCTTGCCGACCTTGGGAGACGGAGGTTGCCGGCAGTCGCTCCAGTGCAACTTTCTGTTGTCCCAAGGAGAGTAGTGAGATATTCTTTGCTAATTCTTTTAGTTGCCAGATCTTGGGCCAGTGATTGTGTATATTTTATTTTGGTTTTTGTTCCTTTTTTTCCCCTTCCTCCTTCCCTTTCCCTTTTCCTTTGGAAGTCATATATATATATATATGTATATTTATATATATTTATATATTTCAATTGTATACAACTGTAATATAAGTACAAACATATTTATGATATATTTATATATACATTATAAATATATTTATACATTCATATATAAATATACATATATATATTAAAAGTATGTTTCTATATATATTTTTTATATTTAGTATAATATATACGTATATATATTTATATAGAAATACACATATATTTTATAAATATATATTTATATTTTTATATATATAGTAAGATATATGTAAGCATACATATAAATATATTTACATATTTATATATAAATACACAAATATATTAAATATATATTTATATGTTTTACTTACATACTATAGTATGTATAAATATATACAAATATACATATATATTATATATATATTTCAATTGTATATAAGTGCAATATAAGTATAGATATATTTATAATATATTTTAATATATAATAACTATATTTATGTATTTGTATATAAATATACATATATATTATAAATATATTTTTATATATTTATATGTAGTATAATATATATGTTTATCTATTGTAAATATATTTACATATTTATATATAAATGTACATATATTTATTAAATCTATTTTATATATATTAAAATATATATAGCATAATATATAAATATAAAAATAAATGTGCATATAAATGTATAGATATAATTATATAAATATAAATATACATATATATACATGCATATATTATAAATATATTTATATATATTTATGTGCATATAGTATGATATATATAAATATATAAATATATATAAGAAGTATATTTATATATTTTTATATAAAATGCATATATATTATAAATATATTTTTATATTTATCATCATGGCTAGGCTTCGCGAACGAAGATTTGGGAAGGGCTCTACCCATTTTTCATGCAAGCGCGTTGGTGGCTAAAAAGGCCAATACGAGAAAGGCAAGTCCGGTTGCAAAAGACACAGCAGAAAGACTCCTTAGATGGTATATTCTGCAAGGTTCGATTCTTTCTGCGTTGTCTTTTCTCCTCAAGAGTGATCCTGCGTGCCTTCTCAAAAGCATCAGCAGCGTTATAAATGGTCTGTCTCCAGGCCTCCCGATTAGAGGCCAGAGTGGACCAGTTATGGTGATCAATATGCCCGAGGCTGAGTTGTTGCTTCAGGGAGTCCTTGTATCTTTTCTTTGGAGCTCCTCTCTTGCGGCAGCCAGTGGCAAGTTCACCATAGAGCAGGATCTTAGGGAGGCGGTGGTCCTTCATCCTAGAGATGTGCCCTGCCCAACGCAGTTGCGTTCTCAGGAGCATGGCCTCAATACTTGTGATTGCTGCCTGTTCGAGAACAGATGTATTGGTCACATAGTCTGACCAATGGATGTTAAGGATTGTACGGAGGCAGCGTTGATGGAAGCGTTCTAGGAGACGCAGGTGGTGGCGGTAGATGACCCATGATTCGGAACCATATAAAAGAGTAGACAGCACTATGGCTCTGTAAACACTGATCTTGGTGCTTTTCTTCAAGTGTTTATTACGCCAAACTCGTTTATGGAGTTTTCCAAAAGCACTGTATGCCTTCGCTAACCTATTGTCTATCTCCCCATCAATCTTACCATCTGAGGAGATGAGGCTGCCTAGGTAATTAAACTGTTGGACTGAATTGAGTTCTGACTGGCCGATGGTGATGTGGGGACGGTGGGGGACTTCCTGAGGTGCAGGCTGATGGAGAACTTCTGTCTTCTTTAAGCTGACTTCCAGCCCAAAGAGCTCAGCAGCCTCTGCAAAGCAGGATGTTAAACGCTGCAGAGCTGCTTCTGTGTGGGCAACAAGGGCGGCGTCATCAGCATAGAGCAGCTCCCGGACAAGATGGTTTAGGGTCTTAGTATGGGCCTTCAGTCGCCTTAGGTTGAATAGGCTTCCATCAGTACGATATCGAATGTAGATACCGTCCTGATCGTCGAGGTCTGCCGAGGCCCTTTGAAGCATCATACTGAAAAAGACTGTGAATAGGGTAGGAGCGAGAACGCAGCCTTGTTTCACACCATTCTTTATTAGAAAGGGCTCAGAAAGTGTGTTGCCATATCTGACTTGGCCGTGCTGATCCTCATGAAGTGAGATGATCATTTTAAGGAACTTGGGGGGACAACCTAAACGTTCCAAAATCTGCCAAAGACCTTTTCTGCTCACAGTATCGAAAGCCTTGGTGAGGTCGACAAAGGTTACATAGAGACCTTTGTTCTGTTCCCTACACTTCTCTTGCAGTTGTCTGAGAACAAATATCATGTCTGTGGTGCTCCTGTTGGCTCTGAAGCCACACTGACTTTCAGGTAGAATTTCTTCTGCTATAGCGGGTATTAGTCTGTTCAGGAGTATTCTTGCCAAGATTTTGCCAGCAATGGAGAGCAGAGTAATACCACGGTAATTTGAACAGTCTGATTTAGTACCTTTCTTCTTATACAAGGTGATGATGACTGCATCACGAAGGTCTGAAGGTAGTTCGCCTAGTTCCCAACAGCGCACCACAAGCTCATGAAATTTAGCATGGAGTGCAAGGCCCCCATGTTTCCAGACTTCAGGTGGAATTCCATCAACCCCAGCTGCCTTGCCGATTTTCACCTGCTGTATGGCCTTGAGGGTTTCTCCTAGAGTGGGGGCAGTATCCAATTCGTATTTCACTGGTTGTTGTGTGATGGACTGAATTGCTGAGTCTTGGACTACACGGTTGGTACTGAAAAGAGTCTGAAAGTGTTCAGACCATCTATTCAGAATGGAGGTTTGATCTGTCAGAAGCGTTTGACCATCTGCACTGAGTAGTGGGCTTTGGACTTGGTATGTAGGCCCGTATGCTGTTTTCAGGGCCTCATAGAATCCTTTGTGATCCCCTGTATCTGCACATAGTTGAGTTTTTGCAGCTAGATCGGTCCACCACTTGTTCTGGATGTCACGGAGTTTCTGTTGGAGCTTGCTGCAAGCAAGACGAAAGGCTGTTTTTCTAGCGTGACAGGAAGGCAGTGCAAGGTGTGCTTGGTGGGCGGTTCTCTTCTTCCTCAACAGTTCCTGGATTTCTTGATTATTTTCATCAAACCAGTCCTTGTTCTTCTTGAGGGAGAACCCTAAGGATTCTTCAGAGGATTGCAGGATGCTACTTTTAATATGCTGCCAAATTGTTTCGGGAGAGGAAACTGCAGAATCTGTGGAATGGTTATCAAGCTTAGTTTGAAGGTTTGCCTGGAATCTTTCTCTTACTGTGGCTGATTGGAGATCGTTAACTTGGAGTCTTCTCCTTGGGATACTGCCCCTCTTGGGTTTGAATTTGAGATAAAGGTTGAGTTTACAGCGCACAAGCCGATGTATATAAATATTTTTATATTTATATATATATAGTATAATACATATAAATATATTACTTTAATCTGTCTCTCTCTTGGTTTCTTTTCATTCTCTTGTTTTTTTTTCCCTCTTCTCCCTTGTTTTTTTGGGAGGGGGAAACTTCTTGTGGTAAATTTGGGGACTTGGAGCTCCAAACCTTCTCCATCCCACAGATCCCCCAGAGGAGGTGCTGGAAGCGCTGCGGGAATTGGGATATTCCTCATTCCGACCGGGACAGGCCACGGCCGTCATGAGGATCCTCTGTGGTGGGAATTGCTTCCCAACGGATCCGGGCTTGGATCTGGGGTTGGATCCGGGGTTGGATCCGGGGTCGGATCTGGGATTGGATCCAGGGTTGGATCCGGGCTTGGATCTGGAGTTGGATCTGGGCTTGGATCTGGGGTTGGATCCAGGGTTGGATCTGGGGTTGGATCCGGGCTTGGATCTGGGGTTGGATCCAGGATTGGATCTGGGGTTGGATCTGGGATTGGATCTGGGGTTGGATCCAGAGTTGGATCCGGGGTTGGATCCGGGGTTGGATCTGGGCTTGGATCTGGGGTTGGATCCGGGATTGAATCTTGGGTTGAATCCGGGGTTGGATCTCAGGTTGGATCTGGGGTTGGATCTTGGGTTGGATCCAGGGTTGGATCTGAGGTTGGATCCGGGGTTTGATCCAGGGTTGGATCTGGGCTTGGATCCGGGCTTGGATCCGGGGTTGGATCCGGGCTTGGATCTGGGGTTGGATCCGGGGTTGGATCCAGGATTGGATCTCAGGGTTGGATCCAGGCTTGGATCCTCTTTCCCCAACCATTCCCACCCCATTCAGGCTTCCAGGAATTCCTGATTTTCCCCTTTCCCTCAGGATTCTCCACTCTGGTTGTGTTACCCACGGGAACGGGAAAATCCCTGTGTTACCAACTCCCGGCTCTCCTGTTCCACCGGCACCGCCGAGCCCTGACCCTCGTCGTGTCCCCACTCGTGTCCCTCATGGATGACCAGGTACCACCAATGGAATATCCGGGAAGCTTTTCCCGACACATCCTGCCCAGATGGAGAGCGCCGGGAGAGCCTGGAATGTCCCCGGGCCCAGAGGGTGCTGGGGATGGAGCTGGATCCAGGTGGGATCCAGCACCAGGAGTGTCTCCAGGGGGAATGGAGCTGCATCCAGGTGGGATCTGGGCACCAGGGGTGTTTCCAGGGGGATGGAGCTGGATCCCATTGGATTTGGGCACCAGGGGTGTCTCCAGGGATCAGTGCTGGGGATGGAGAGTGATGGGAATGATGTTGGATCCCATTGGGATCTGGGCACCAGGGGTGTCCCAGTGCTGGGCATGGAGAGTGGTGGGGATGGAGGTGGATCCAGGTGTGATCCAGCACCAGGGGTGTCCCAGGGATCAGGGGTGGGGATGGAGATGGATCCCGTTGGGATCCAGTCACTGGTCACCAGTGGTGTCCCAATTTTGGGCCTGGAGAGTGGTGGGGATGGAGCTGCATCCAGCTGGGATCCAGCACCAAGGGTGTCCCCAGGGATCAGTGTTGGGCCTGGAGAGTGGTGGGAATGGAGCTGCATCCAACTGGGATCCAGGCACCAGTGGTGTCCCAGTGTTGGATGGAGAGTGGTGGGAATGGAGGTGAATCCAGGTGGGATCCGGGCACCGATGGTGTCCCCAGGGATCAGTGCTGGGGATGGAGCTGCATCCCATTGGGATCCGGGCACTGGTCACCAGGGGTGTCCCAGTTTTGGGCCTAGAGAGTGATGGGGATGGAGCTGCGTCCAGCTGGGATCCAGTCACTGGTCACCAGTGGTGGGAATGGAGAGTGGTGGGGATGGAGCTGGATCCAGGTGGGATCCGGGCACCAGGGGTGTATCCAGGGGGAATGGAGCTGGATCCCATTGGGATCCATTGCCAGGAGTGTCCCCAGGGATCAGTGCTGGGAATGGAGGTGGATCCAGGTGGGATCACCAGGGGTGTCCCAGTGTTGGACCTGGAGAGTGGTGGGGATGGAGCTGCATCCAGCTGGGATCACCAGGGGTGTCCCCAGGGAAAATGGAGCTGCATCCCGTTGGGATCCATCACCAGGGGTGTCCCAGTGTTGGACATGGAGAGTGGTGGGGATGGAGCTGGATCCCATTGGGATCCAGTCACTGGTCACCAGGGGTGTCTCCAGGGAAAATGGAACTGCATCCCATTGGGATCCATCACCAGGGATGTCCCCAGGGATCAGTGCTGGGGATGGAGCTGGATCCAGGTGGGATCTGGGCACTGGTGGTGTCCCAGTGTTGGATGGAGAGTGGTGGGAATGGAGGTGGATCCAGGTGGGATCCGGGCACCAGGGGTGTCCCCAGGGGGAATGGAGCTGCATCCCATTGGGATCCATCACTAGGGGTGTCCCCAGGGATCAGTGCTGGACACGGAGAGTGGTGGGGATGGAACTGCATCCCAATGGGATTCGGGGTTGGATCTCAGGTTGGATCTGGGCTTGGATCTGGGGTTGGATCCAGGGTTGGATCCAGAGTTGGATCCGGGATTGGATCCAGGGTTGGATCCGGGATTGGATCCAGGGTTGGATCTGGGGTCGGATCTGGGGTCGGATCCGGGGTCGGATCCAGGGTAGGATCCGGGGTTGGATCTGGGGTTGGATCCGGGGTCGGATCTGGGCTTGGATCCGGGGTCGGATCTCAGGTTGGATCCGGGCTTGGATCTGGGCTTGGATCTGGAGTTGGATCCGGGGTTGGATCCAGGGTTGGATCCGGGCTTGGATCCAGAGTTGGATCTGGGCTTGGATCCAGGCTTGGATCTGGGGTTGGATCTGGGGTTGGATCTGGGGTTGGATCCAGGGTTGGATCCGGGGTTGGATCCAGGGTTGGATCCGGGCTTGGATCCAGAGTTGGATCTGGGGTTGGATCCGGGGTTGGATCCGGATCTCCGGGTTTGGATGGAGGATCCCGGAGTTGCTTTTCCCACCCATCTGATCCCAGATCCCATTCCAGGTTTCTGGACTCCCGCGGTGCCTCAAGGCCGTCTGTGTCCACTCCAACATGTCCCGATCCCAGCGGGAATCCGTCATGGAAAAGGTGAGGATCCGGATCCTCCCTCCCCGAGGCTTCCCGGGAATAATTCTCACCTCATCCCGCTTTTCCCACAGGAGAAATGGTCTCAGGAATGGGGGTTGAAACCCTAAAAATGAAGGTTGGAGCCAAAAAACAGGGATTTTGACCCGGAAAAATGAGGGATTCGGTTGCAAAAATGAAGTTTTGGGGCCTAAAAATGGGGATTTGGGCCCGGAAAGGAGGGATTTGGGCCTAGAAAGGAGGGATTTGGGCCTGGAAAGGAGGGATTTGGGCCTGGAAAGGAGGGATTTGGGCCTGGAAAGATTTGGGCCTGGAAAGATTTGGGCCTGGAAAGGAGGGATTTTGACCTGGAAAGGAGGGATTTGGGCCTGGAAAGGAGGGATTTTGGGCCTGGAAAGGAGGGATTTGGGCTCAAAAATGTGGATTTTAGACTCTAAAATTCTAATTTTTTTGCCCCCCAAAATGGACAATGTGGATTTTGGCCTTGAAAATGAGGGATTTGACCTGGAAAAATGAGGCCAAAACGTGATTTTTTTTTTTTTTACTTTCTCCTAAAAACAGAGGTCGGAGCTTCCCGGGACTAATTCCCAGGCCTAATTCCCGCCTTTTCCCTGCAGGTCCGTGCCGGGAAGGTGCAGGTGCTGCTCCTGTCTCCGGAAGCTCTGGTGGGCTCGGGATTGGGCTCGGGATTCCTGCCGGGCCGGGATCAGCTCCCACCCGTGGCCTTCGCCTGCCTGGATGAGGCTCATTGTGTGTCCCAGTGGTCCCACAACTTCCGGCCGGCCTACCTACGGATCTGCAAGGTCAGGGAAAAACCACGGGAAGCGGGGAAATTAGCTCAAGATCTGGCAACTAAAAGAATTAGCAAAGAATATCTCACTACTCTCCTTGAAACAACAGAAAGTCGCGCTGGAACAACCGCCAGCAACCTCCGTCTCCAGAGGTCGACAAGGCCTCACCAGGCCTCACCAGGCCTTACCAGGCCTCACTAGGCCTCACCAGGCCTTACTAGTCCTCATTAGGCCTTACTCTCCCTCACTAGGCCTCACTAGGCCTCACCAGGCTTCATCAGGCCTCACCAGGCCTCACTACGCCTTACTAGGCCTCACTAGGCCTCACCAGGCCTCACCAGGCCTCACTAGGCCTCACCAGGCCTTACTAAGCCTTTCTAGGCCTCACTAGGCCACACTAGGCCTTACTAGGCCTCACCAGGCCTTACCAGGCCTCACTAGGCCTCACCAGACCTCACTACGCCTCACCAGGCCTTACTAGGCCTCACTAGGCCTCACCAGGCTTCACCAGGCCTCACTACGCCTCACCAGGCCTTACTATGCCTCACTAGGCCTTACCAGGCCTTACTACGCCTCACTAGGCCTCACCAGGCCTCACTAGGCCTCACTAGGCCTCACCAGGCCTTACTAGGCCTCACCAGGCCTCACCAGGCCTCACCAGGCCTCACTAGGCCTCACCAGGCCTCACCAGGCCTTACTAGGCCTCACTAGGCCTCACCAGGCCTCACCAGGCCTCACTCCCCAACCCGACAGAACCAACAGCAGGGAACCCACACCTCCAAAGCCACCAGAAGGAAAGAGGGGCAAAAACCTCTCTTCCTTTCTTCTTATACCCCAGTTTACATAAAAATCGTAGGGAATAATGGGAAAATCCCAATTCCTGTTTTTTTTTAATCCTGGGATTTTCCCCCCTCCAGGTTCTCCGGGAGCGTTGGGGAGTCCGGTGCTTCCTGGGCCTGACGGCCACGGCCACGGCGGCCACGGCGCGGGATGTGGCGGAACATTTGGGAATTCCACCGGAACAAGGGATCCCGGAGCGTTCGGCGGCCGTGCCGGAAAACCTGCGGCTCTCCGTGTCCATGGACACAGACCGGGATTGGGTCAGGAGCAGGGAACGGCGGGAGAGAGGGAGGGGGTTTTATGAGGGAATTGATGGTGGAAATGTGGGAATTGGCTCTGAAAATGTGGGATTTCACTCTGAAAATGGGGGAATTGACTCTGAAAATGTGGGATTTGACCCTGAAAATGAGGGAATTGACTCTCAAAATTTGACCCTGGAAATGTGGGAATTGACTCTGAAAAATGTGGGAATTGGCTCTCAAAATGAGGGATTTGACTCTGAAAATTTGACCCTGAAAATGTGGGAATTGACTCTCAAAAGCTGGGAATTGACTCTGAAAATGTGGGAATTCACTCTAAAATCTGGGAATTGACTCTTAAAAATCTGGGATTTCAACTCTCAACATTTGACCCTGAAAATGTGGGAATTGACTCTCAAAATGTGGGAATTGACTCTCAAAATCTGGAAATTGTTTCCCCAAATTTCACTGTGAAAATGTGGGAATTGACTCTCAAAAATCTGGGAATTGACTTTCAAAATGAGGGATTTGACCCTGAAAATGAGGGAATTCACTCTCAAAATCTGGCAATTGACCCTCAAAGTTTGACCCTGAAAAGGAAGGAATTGACCCTGGAAATGTGGAATTTTACTCTCCAAATGAGAGATTTGAGTCTAAAAATTTGACTCTGGAAATGTGGGAATTGACTCTGAAAAATGTGGGAATTGACTCTCAAATGTGGGAATTGACTCTCAAAATGTGGGAATTGACTCTCAAAAAATCTGGGAACTGACTCTCAAAATCTGGGATTTGACTCTCAAAATTTGACCCTGAAAACGTGGGAATTGACTCTCAAAATGTGGGAATTAACTCTGAAAATGTGGGAATTGACTTTGAAAATGTGGGAATTGGCTCTCAAAAATCTGGGATTCAACTCTGAAAATTTGACCCTGAAAATGTGGGAATTGATTCTGAAAATGTGGGATTTGACTCTCAAATGGAGAGATTTGACTCTCAAAATGAGGGAATTCACTCCCAAAATCTGGGAATTGACTCTCAAAATCTGGGAATTGACTCTTAAAATGTGGGAATTGCCTCTGAAAATGAGGGAATTGATTCTGAAAATCCAAGAATTGATTCTGAAAATGTGGGATTTGACTCTCAAATGGAGGGATTTGACCCTGAAAATGAGGGAATTCACTCTCGAAATCTGGGAATTGACTCTGAAAATCTGGGAATTGATTCTGAAAATCCAAGAATTGACTCTGAAAATCTGGGAATTGACTCTTAAAATGAGGGAATTGACCCTGAAAATGTGGGAATCTGACTCTCGAATTGAGAGATTTGACTCAAAATTTGACCCTGAAAATGTGGGAATCGACTCTCAAAATCTGGGAATTGACCCTGAAAACGTGGGAATTGCCTCTCCAAATGTGGGAATTCCCTGTCAATAATCTGGGAATTCCCTCCCGCTGTGTTTCCCAGGCCCTGCTGTCCCTGCTCCGGGGGGAGCGTTTCGGTTCCCTGGATTCCATCCTGGTTTATTGCACGCGCCGGGAGGACACGGAGAGAGTGGCCGCCCTCATCCGAACCCAAATCCCAGGAATTCCCAACCGGAACAGCGGGAAAGGTCGGGAAGGGACGGGAAAAGGGTTTTATGGGAGGGGGAAGGGGAAAGATCCTGAGGGGAGGGAAGGGTTGGGAAGGGAAATGAAGGGATTTGACCCTGAAAATGGGGGAATTGAACTTGAAAATGTGGGAATGGAGCCTGAAAATGTGGGAATTGACCCTGAAAATGTGGGAATGGAGACTGAAAATGTGGGAATTCACTGGCAAAATGTGGGATTTGACCCTGAAAATGTGGGAATTGAGCCAAAAAATGTGGGAATTGACTGGGAAAATGAGGGAATTGACTCCCAAAATGTGGGAATTGAGCCGAAAAATGTGGGAATTGACTGGGAAAATGAGGGAATTGACTGGGAAAATGAGGGAATTGACTCCCAAAATGTGGGAATTGAACCGAAAATGTGGGAATTCAGCTTGAAAATGTGGGAATTGACCCTGAAAATGAGGGATTTGACCCTGAAAATGTGGGAATTCAGCTTGACAATGTGGGAATGGATGTTAAAAATGTGGGAATTGACTCTCAAAATGGGGGAATTGACCCTGAAAATGTGGGATCTGACCCCATAAATGTGGGAATTGACTCTGAAAATGTGGGAATTGACTCCCAAAATGTGGGATTTGACTCTCAAAATCTGGGATTCGACTCCCAAAATGCGGGAATTGACTCCCAAAATTAAGGAATTGACTC